TTAGGCTGAATAGGTTTATACAGGCGTCCATATACATACACACATATGTTCATTCATAAATTGGAATTGTGGAAGAGGAGCTATGCCACGTGTACTTGGGAAGCTTTTAGTTGCCTAATTGTTTTGGAGTCTACTGACCATTCAGGTATCAGATAAAAGAGCAGCTGCATTCCGAGTAACTCTAAAATAAACTCTACTAGGGTGTTCAATTGCGTTGCAAACTTTGTAAAGTGTAAAAGTGTATATCAATTCCAACAACAATTTCTATACAAAATAGTTTTAAAGGCCTACTTTTGAAAATTTTTTTGTATAGAAATTGTTGTTGGAACTGCCTTACACTTGTACACTTTACAACGTTTGCAACGCAATTGAACACCCTATATATATTATTTTATTTTATCCAATGAAATACATGACGAACACTGAACTAAAGAAATCTGGATGAAACTTTGCAACTTCTGCCTTCTAACGAACTATTCAAGTGTGTCCCTGAAAACTCTAACAATCAAAAAACAACCCAAAAGCAATTGTTGGGTTATTTAAAAATGTTCCGACATTTCTATAGCTAGATGAGTTTTGAAAAACATTTGAGTAGGCTTTTTAAAATTTTTTCCAACCACCACTTGAAATATCGGTGTCCCCGAAAAAATAGAGGTTTAAGTTTGCTTTTTGACACGCACTTGTACACACAAAAAAAAAATTGGTAAAATCAACTGTAATAATTGTCAAACAGGCCCCAACCAGCAAAATTGTCAATTCTTCTAAGTAAATCGTTATTTCACAACAACAAAATACACACAATTAGCAAAGACACAAACCCAAAGCAAAATCAAAATACACGTAACTATTTTAATAGTTACGTAATCTTTGTTGGTCAATTTTACCAAGCCATTTTTTTTGTGTGTATGAAAAACAACATAAGGGCTACTCAGTTTCATCGGATACATTTCAATTTCTTTCGATCAGCATTTTAAACTAAGCCGCTGAACAAATAATCCAATACATTTTGTTAAATCTTCTTCAAAATTAATTCCAAACAAGAAAGGAAGCTAGCTTCGGCCAGCCGAAGCTTATATACCCTTGCAGATCATTCCTATTAATTAACAAATCGCAAAAATGTTCAATTTTCTAATATTTCTCATTAATTTTCCGATCGTTCCTATGGCAGCTATATGATATAGTCGTCCGATTTTGATCAAATTAAAATTGAAATTCGGAAATATTTAAAAAGAGTCATATCCTAGAGTAGCAGATAATACAATAAAAACCAAAGAAGCTAGAATTTATTTCCTATTACTTTTCCATTAATTTTCCGATCGTTCCTATGGCAGCTATATGATATAGTAGTCCGATTTTTTAAATAATTAATTCGAAATTCAGAAATATTTAAAAAATAACATCCCCAAAAAATAGAAGGTAATATTTCAAAAAACACCGAAGCTAGAATTTTTTAAGTTTTTTTCTTCCGATCCTTCCTATGGGAGCTATAAGATATAGTTGTCCGATCCGGTCGGCTCCGACATATATACTACCTGCAATAGAAAGAAGACTTTTGCGAAAGTTTCGTCCCGATAGCTCAAAAACTGAGAGACTAGTTTGCGTAGAAACAGACAGACGGACAGACGGACGGACAGACGGACAGACGGACAGACGGACATGGCTAGATCGACTCGTCTTGTGATGCTGATCAAGAATATATATACTTTATGGGGTCGGAAACGTTTCCTTCACTGCGTTGCAAACTTCTGACTGAAATCATAATACCCTCTGCAAGGGTATAAAAAGGTTAACGAAGCCTTGGACAGGATGCAGATATTTTCAAACTCACAAACTTAACCAACTGTAGGACGAAAAAATTGACGTTAAAAAGCATCAAATTCAGGTTTGAGGGAACCCAACAATTGTTATACCCTTGCAGAGGGTATTATGATTTCAGTCAGAAGTTTGCAACGCAGTGAAGGAGACGTTTCCAACCCCATAAAGTATATATATTCTTGATCAGCATCACTAGACGAGTCGATCTAGCCATGTCCGTCTGTCCGTCTGTCCGTCTGTCCGTCCGTCTGTCCGTCTGTCCGTCTGTCTGTTTCTACGCAAACTAGTCTCTCAGTTTTTGAGCTATCGGGATGAAACTTTCCCAAAAGTCTTCTTTCTATTGCAGGTAGTATATATGTCGGAGCCAACCGGATCGGACAACTATATCTTATAGCTCCCATAGGAAGGATCGGAAAAGAAAACGTTAAAAAAATTCTAGCTTCGGTGTTTTTTGAAATATTACCTTCTACTTTTGGGGATGTTATTTTTTAAATATTTCTGAGTTTCGAATTAAATATTTAAAAAATCGGACTACTATATCATATAGCTGCCATAGGAACGATCGGTAAATTAATGGAATAGTAATAGGAAATAAATTCTAGCTTCTTTGGTTTTTATTGTATTATCTTCTACTCTAGGATATGACTCTTTTTAAATATTTCCGAATTTCAATTTTAATTTGAATTTCGAATTAAATATTTAAAAAATCGGACGACTATATCATATAGCTGCCATAGGAACGATCGGAAAATTAATGAGAAATATTAGAAAATTGAACATTTTTGCGATTTGTTAATTAATAGGAATGATCTGCAAGGGTATATAAGCTTCGGCTGGCCGAAGCTAGCTTCCTTTCTTGTTTTTGTGTTGCTTTTAATTGAATAAACAAGGAAAACAAGGGAGTTTCTTAGTTGTTTGTTGTTTTTGAAAGAAACTCTCTCTTTTTTTGTTGTCTTACGAGGACTATTTACAAGTATTTTCTCTTTATTTTCTTTAAATAAATAATTTGTAGCATATATTCTGATTATGTTCGATATATTTTTAAATAATTAATAAATATTAAATAAAGACATTAAAATAATTGTGAAGGAAAAAAACACCTTTAGTTGTTATTATAGAGAATTAGTCAACGGACATTTTAAATGACTTTTTTTAGTCCAACATAAAACAATTCTGAAATGCATTCATTCCCTGCAAGAAACAGAATCAGTTTTGGACCAGTAAAATACTAGTTGTCTAGTTGTCTATTTTTCATATGCTTGTCATCGGAAACAACTAGTTCATTTGTTACCAGTTTTGCACAGCTGTTAAACCACACTAAAAAAAATATTTTCACGAAAAAACTATAAAATGTAACTCTAATCTAATTGACGCTCTCCTAATTAGTAATTAGGAATTCTGATAATTACTATGTAATCAAATACGGTAAATGATAATTAAATGGAATTAAAACAAGAAAGGAAGCTAGCTTCGGCCAGCCGAAGCTTATATACCCTTGCAGATCATTCCTATTAATTAAGAAATCGCAAAAACACCGAAGCTAGAATTTTTTAAAGTTTTTTTTCCGATCGTTCCTATGGGAGCTATAAGATATAATTGTCCGATCCGGTCGGTTCCGACATATATACTACCTGCAATAGAAATAAGACTTTTGGGAAAGTTTCATCCCGATAGCTCAAAAACTGAGAGACTAGTTTGCGTAGAAACAGACAGACGGACAGACGGACGGACAGACGGACAGACGGACAGAAGGACAGACGGACAGACGGACATGGCTAGATCGACTCGTCTTGTGATGCTGATCAAGAATATATATACTTTATGGGGTCGGAAACATCTCCTTCACTGCGTTGCAAACTTCTGACTGAAATCATAATACCCTCTGCAAGGGTATAACAAACTTACTTTTTTGAGGCAAGTCCCCTCTCTAGGACTTGAACCCGGGACCTTTGTATTTGTAGACACAATAACTGCTTGAGCCATACACGCATCACATTTTGCAATGCCAATGTGATTTTCGGACAGATTAAGCTAAGTTTGAAATTTAAATAAATCATCACCCAGCTAACAAAAAAAAAAATTACAAAGACTGGGGATTGAACCGAGAACATATTCAGTTTGATTGGTTTTAAATTTCTCAACACATTTACACCCTGGGCTATATTTTTGGATCATATATGTTTCAATTGCAACTAGTTAAATTCCAGTTGTCTTTTTACTGGATGTTAACGTGTATTTGATCAACCAATTAAATATTTGTAAGGCTTTTTTTCGGTCAGAAAGTTACCAGTCCGAGACAAGTTGCTTTTTCACTACACACAAAAAAATTTGCTTGGTAAAATTGACCAACAAAGATAGTTACGTAACTATTAAAATAGTTACGTGTATTTTGTTTTTGCTTTGGGTTTGTGTCTTTGCTAATTGTGTGTATTTTGTTGTTGTGAAATGATTATTTACTTAGAAGAATTGACAATTTTGCTGGTTGGGGCCTGTCTGACAATTATTACAGTTGATGTTACCAAGTTTTTTTTTGTGTGTAGTTTTGTATTATTAAGTTTTTCAACTAGCGCCAATTTTCCAGATCCTTTGTAGTCCAAATGAATTCAGACAAATTCTGGTTGCTTTATATTAGTTGTATAACTAGTTGTTTTTCAGACTAGTTCGCATTTTTCCTAAAGGAAATCCACTCGCTATCACATTCCCTTCTAAGAACCCAGTTGTGTGTTTTGTCTAATATAAGCAGTGATATATTTGCCGAATCGGTTTAGCATGACCTTGGCGATGTCAACAACCGCCGAAATCGTTGGTGAATAGTGGTGTTACACAATAAACTACTTAATTATCCCCATGCAAAACTTTGCATAAACAAAACTGCTTGGCGAAAGAAAAAGCGGACACATGTCAGCAACACCCGGCAAGGCGCGGATCTAATAACAAAAGTCAGCTGTTCCCATCCTGGCTCTCCCAATTTTCGCTCTGAAAGCTCGCGAACGACGAAAGCTTGCTGTTTGCCATGTGGGGAAGCGGGTCAACGCTGCGTATGCGTTACGTTTCACTTTCGCTGCCGACAAAGTAACTTAGCTTCCTCCATTTGGCGGCTGCTGCGACCCAATCAGACTCGTTCCGTTTCGATTTCAGTTTCAGTTCCCGTGCAAAACTCAAGGCGTCTGGTTGTGTGTCCGTAGGAAAATTCATTCGACATTCCGGCGCAAGTCGCGCGCTGGTTTCGATTTGTGTTACGGCTGCTGCTGCCCCAAAAAGTAGGCAACGTGAACTGTGCAAGAAATCTCAACTCAAGCCGAGTGAATCGGGTTTTAAAGCTTTAACTTCGCTGGGGCGAAAGTTTTTTTTATGAATGAACCGCTCGGTCGGCAGCGGATTGTTTTAATTTTGGGCGATGAATGCGCGTTCTGAAAGTCCGGGCGTGTCTAGCCTTATAATGGCACTTCGATAGGAATTATTAGCAGGCCCACCGAAAGGAAATCAATGAAAAACTCACTTTGAAACGTCAAATTAAGGTTTCTTCTAGGGCATTTAACAAACCACATACGAAGAAATCAGGGAAATGGATGGTTTCTACGCTGCACTATGGGTCATTTGACCACTTTCGTTATCCAGAATTAAATACTAGGTCATTTCAAATGATATTAACGTGAAAGTCGTCATATTTTATCACTGCGCATATTATGTATGAGAATCATCCGGATTGGATAACTGTATCATATAGTTGCCATAGAAACGATTGGATTAACTATGCTGAATTTTGAGATATATGCACATAGCTTTAGAAATACCGATTTTTACGTTTTTAATACAATTTGAAAAGTTTTGTACAAATTGGACGACTATATCCTAAAGTTCTCAAAAAAAGGGCAAGGAACAGACTTTACTATTATTCATTAGCTGAAGAATTCGAGGAAAAGCAAAAGTATAGTGCGGCTCAATAAAATTATTTTAAAGAAGATAATGGTATTGATGTGTACATACAGAACAAGATAAATAGTATAGAATATTCATATATAATTCATTTCTCAGGGCAGTTTCTACATAACATTTTTTAGCTCTGTTCTTACATAACATTTTTCCGCCCTGTTTCTATGTAACATTTTTTGGTATGATCGGACAAATAAAAACACCTCTTAACGAGGTAAAAAACTATTGACGATCGCACCTTCAACATACAAAAGTTCTGATATCAACATTTGTGACGAAAAATGATTACACTCGTCATAAAATAGGCTTTCTAATATTTTCTCATTCGGCCCGCCCTAGCAAACTATTCCAGCCTTTTTCCCTTAACAGGCATTTTCTATTGCAGCGTGCCGAAGCTGGCAAAAGTGGCTATTTTCGTATAAAAATAACTTTTAAACGTGACTTTTTACAGTAATGTGTTATATACTAAAATTTAAGGAATCTCAAGGGCTATACAATTTAAAGTTGTAAGGAAAATCGTTAGAGCCGTTTTTCTAAAAATTAAAAAAAAGCTAAAAAGAAAGTTAAAAAAAAAATTCTTTTGTTCATATCTTTTTAACTATTACATTTACACAAATTGCATATAGAGGGCGTTTATAGCATTTAAAAATACGGCTTTCCGAATTTGAGCTATTTATAGCTGTTTTCCCGCTAAACTAGCAAGTTTTTCCAAAACTCATCATATAAAATTTTCAAAGCTTAAAAAACATGTTTTGGACAAACTGACAAACAGAATTAAATTTTCATTTTGGGAAGAAGAAGAAAATCTTATTTTGGCTATAACTTTTGAACGGATTTTGACATATGACCCCTCATTCGACGGGTATTTTCAAAAGGAATACAACTAAAACATTGCGAGGGGGCATTTATCCCCACCGGCCCCAACAGCTCCAAATTTCGAAATTTTCACTTTTTCACTTTTACCGCTCTCTCTCCCAAGCCAATTGATTTTCTTAAAGTCTTGGTATGCAATCCTCGTGCAGGGCTCTATTACGCAAATACTTTTGAATATTTGACAATGATTCAAATATTCCAAACACACAATAAAATATTACCTCAGGAGAGCGCTGCCACGAGTGTATTTTCTTAATCCCTCCATGAAAGTAGTGTGTTTATAAGCTTGCGGGCGTGAGTTTGATACCCGGAGAGATAACAAGAGGTTTTTCTTTTATTGTTCTTTTAGGGAAGATAAAAGTATCAAACCACCAAGACGTGTTTATAGAAATTTATTGGACACCAGATGACGCTGAATGTGAAATAGTTATAAGGTGAACAAAAAGATTTTAATTTAAATACAATATATACTTTAAAATTGATTTGAAAACAATTCTGTTTTAAATGACTATGGAATTACTATATCTTAAGAACTTTATATGATACAGTGGCGAATCCAGGATTCTTTTGTGAGGGGTGATATCAGAACAATTTTTTTGTTGCATACTTTTTGAATACAAAAATTTCTTTCATTTTTAACCCGAGTGGGGGGTTATATATCACCCATATTACCCCCCGTGGATCCGCACACGATATGATATGAAAGTTTCGTGCCGTTATTTTTTGAAGTTGGCACCTGCTGGATTAGTTTTCAATCCCTGTCATAAGGGTGTTATATTCAATTCACGTGCGAGTCTTTCCTAAAGCACCCCAACAGCAACCCACGATGACTTCAAAAAAATTATAAAAGCCGAATAGGCTTTCACGCAAATGCGAAGTATTTACTTGAGAATGCTTCTCTTGTGGGACCCATAAAGCGTCGCCGTTGTTGTTGCTGACCCGGCTAATACGTGATCAGATCACACAACAAACCGCAACACCGACAGCAACAGCAATCTGAAGGAAATACCTTTCTCTGCTCCTTCAACTTGGTCGTCGCCATGGCCGCCATTAAATATGACACACGCCAGCCGGCTGACGCCTGCTAACATTACGAGTACTCTATAGGCATTCCGATTTCAATTCCTCTACGGTCGCCATCGCTCATACGCCCCGTGTGCCGACCAACAGCTTCCTCGCCTGCTGGGCTTAATTGCCGAATATTTGTGTGCGGCACAACAAATGCGTTCCAGCCATTCGACAGCACCAATAGAAAGAACGTTTTCATTTTTCAGTGACACTTGTGGCAGTCAAGGATATATGAGCCTAGCAGTTTAAAATTACCGAAAGGCAGTGGCTGGAACGCGAAGAAAGTCAAATGGACGAAGCGTTTTAATTACATCCGGAATAAGAAATTTCCGGCTCTCTAGAAGTGCGTGTGTGTGCGTCCGGACGAAGTGTGGGTGTTGTAGACGGGTAAAGGACCTCAAACAGGCCAAATCTCCTGCCAGACAAGCCATTTCGGCTGTCGACAGTCATCAAAGCGGCTTAAAGTTCCAGTATCGAGTACGAAGCGTCTAGGACAAAAAGACGCACTTTTATACACTGGGGAGCACTTTGGGTGAGTATGGTTTGAAATTGTAGGCCACTAGCTTATGTTACGTATACGCTATGTCCCCCAGCAGGGATTCACGGCTGCATAGTATAAAAAGTCAGTTTAGCACTTCAACACTTTTCCCCATAAAATGTTAGATCAAGCCGAAGTCGTTTGAGTCTTAAATTTTTCCTTTCAACACATACTCGAAACAATTGTAGAATTTATTATAAATAGGTTCTGAATTATAAATTTATGGGTGCATTACCATTTCCAAATTACGAAACATAAAATATGTGATTATTCCAATAAGTACAAGTATAAACATTATTAATCGTTATTCTGACTTTCACAAATATTTTTACGGGGCCTTGGAAAGGACATATGTAGGTATACTTGTTTCTGCTTGTAAGCCAAATATACTTTCTTGTTATAAATATTCTTGTGCTTGTCAACCAGCAACCACAACTTGGAAAAAAACAAAATAAAATAAAATCGATAAAGCTTAAAAAAAGTCAAGTCGAGCGAGATATGCGCGAAATTAAAGCTTCAAAGTGACAAGAAAGTCAGGCAGACATATATTTAAGAAATAACTAATGTGATTTCCTCAAAAGTGAGTAAGTTCTCCAAAAGGACTTTTCGAGGAATACATTTGCAGTCCACTGGGTATTTAATAATAAATGATTATGAATTATGAAAAGTTTCTTTAATTGAATGGATAACTTAAATAAATTCTTTTGATTTTGAGTTTGTAAAGTTTTAAAGTTTTTTGCATTTGAAATGTATCTTCTCCTGGTAACTTCACCTGTAATTGAAAAATGGGCAAGCGAAAATGGCTTGAGTATAAACCCAAAAAAATCCAAGTGTGTAGTAATCTCTAAGAGGCCAATCGATACAAGTATTGATAATCAACAATACGCCGATACAATTTGAGGAGTACGCACATAATTTAGGTATTACGTTCAGCAACACACTCAGCTGGAGTAAACACATATCGAAGGCTACAGGTCGAACTTACGGCTTATTGCGCCAGCTTTCATACTCCAAAACATACCTACCGTCTCAAATAAGGCTTTTAGTAGCTAAAGTGATTCTTGTTCCAACACTATTTTATGGTGTGGAAATTTTTGGACACTGCGAAACCCGTGAAATGCAAATGCTGGAAGTAGCCTTTAACTCTATCGTGAGATATGTTTATACCCTTGCAGAGGGTATTATCAAAGACCAATATAATCTCTAAGATGAGTAACGGCCATACATTCGTTTTGCAATATGCAGCTCATTTTTTGGTGGCGACGAAAATCTCGGTCTCTCCGCTCCACTATGGGGCATTATATATACGCTTCGGCTTGCCGAAGCTAGCTTCCTTTCTTGTTTTGATCTATTCTTAATACGTTTCCAATAATGGTTCAATAATTTGAATACTTGTAAAAAACACATTTATGCCAAAAAAAACAGGTCAAATGCCCCATAGTGCGCTCGCACAAAGTTGAGAGAGTGCACATACTTGTGTGAGTAAACACAACTCGTAAGCAAGTGCTTATGTGTGCGTACTTAATTGACGAGACGATTTTCGGCTAGAAATCATTTCTGGGCTAAGAAACTAATTGTGCGTCGAAAAGAACTTCTATGACTGAACAGGATGTTTATTATACCCATTACTCGTAGAGTAAAAGGGTATATTAGATTCGTGAAAAAGTATGTAACAGGTAGAAGGAGGCGTTTCCGACCCTATAAACTATATATATTCTTGATCAGGATCACTAGCCGAGTCGATCTAGCCATGTCCGTCTGTCTGTCCGTCTGTCTGTCCGTCTGTCTGTCTGTATGAACGCTGAGATCTCGGAAACTACAAAAGCTAGAAGGTTGAGACTTTCCACGCATATTCTTGGGCTTCCTACGCAGCGCAAGTTTATTTCAGCCGAGTGCCACGCCTCCTCTAGCGCCCACAATCGCCTACTAACGATTTTAAAATGTGTCTGGCACCCACGCATATTTATACCTATCGAAATGTAGAAGATATTTTTCAAATCGGACCATTCATTAAAAAGTTATACGCAATCAAAATTTCTATATCTATCTCCCTCGCACTCCCTTTAGCTGAGTTACGATTATTAGTCGGGACACCAACCCGAGTACAGCGTTTGCACTCCCTTTAGCTTAGTGACGGGTATTAGATAGTCGGGACACGAACCCGACTATAGCGTTCTCTCTTGTTTAAATCAGGGACTGCAAATAAGTGTTATGAGTTTAAAAAAATTGATAGTCAAAATAGCGTCCAAAAAATAAGGGAAAAAACCACTTATTTAGTATGGTTCGGCAAATGGGAAAACGTGATAAACCTTTTTTTTCAATTTTTATTTTATAAATTAAATATAAGTCTTATTTTTCAATTTTTAAATTAAAAATTGAAAATAGGTCTTATTCTTCAACTTTTATTATAAAAATTAAAAATAAGTCTTATTTTCCAATTTTTATAATAAAAATTGAAAATAAGTCTTATTCTCCACTTTTTATAAGCCTTATTCTCCAATTTTTATTATATAAATTGAAAATAAGTCTTATTCTCCAATTTTTATTATAAAAATTGAAAATAAAAATTGAATGCAAATATCTTTTAAACCAATGGGAATATGGGCCAAAATCTAAAACAGGATTGATCTTCGAGTCAATACCTTTCATATGAGCTATGACATGACTATGTCCATGGATATTTTAAGGACTTATAACGCCTTTTAATGTTTTATATATGTAACTTCTATGTTCGGTGGAAGTACATGACGTCAAAAAAAACCATTTAGTACCAGAAAATCCAAATGATAAGAATAAATATCCCAGTCGAAATGCACCTGTCCATCTGTCTGATATTGCTTAAAGTAATTAAAAATGAAATTCGCGAATTTTCCAATTATTTATAAGTATATTTAGTTAAGTTAAGTTATGTATGATCCACAAAAATAAATCCTCTTGTTCCTAAGAATTCGCGGTTTTTTAAGAATCGACATAGAATACATATTTAGGTATCTGAAGTTAAGTTATGTAAGATACACAAAAATTAATTTATAGTATCGTTTTACACATTTAAATTAAAACTAAAAACATAACTTTTAATACAAAACATATAAAACTGCTTGATAAAATTTAAAAACATTTTAATCAAGTTTATTGTTAAACCAAAACAAAGCGAAGGATATTTAAATTGAATATATTTAAAGGATATTTAAATTAAATATATTTCGCTTTATTTTTTATCCATGGCTGTTTTTATTAACTTTAAAATGAAAAAATTAAATTTAATTTTAGACTTAATATTTTAAACTTTGATTAAATGACTTAAAATATTTACAGTAAATACGAATGATATCATTTAAATATTTTCATATTTAATCCAGCAGCTGTATATGTTTTGTGGTAAAAGTTATGTTTTTTCATATTTAATTTAAGTATATAAATGCAATTTGGATAAATGATTTTGTGCCATTTAAATTTGGTTTATATTTAGGTAGTATATCTTAATTATGTAATATATTTAATAGTATATTTATTATTTTAACAATTCAAATTAATTAATGTATTTAATGGTAGTTATATTTCTAAAAAGTATTTACCAGTATAAGTAATTATTATTATAACTGTTTTAAACATTAAAAATCATATTAATATATTACCTATTTAAATTATCTAGTAAAGTTAAGTTACAATTTTACAATTTACATTTTTAGTATTTTAAATTAAAACAACATTTCGTTAAATGATTTTGGGTCATTCAATTTTAATTTAATTTTGACTTATTTTTCACCATTGTGATTCTCCTTTTCATTAATAATTGAAATAGTTAATATAGAAATACATACATAAATATTATTATTATAATTCTATTATTTTAATTATTTTAAAATCGAAATATGAAATTAAATAAATACAAAAACAAGAAAGGAAGCTAGCTTCGGCAAGCCGAAGCTTATATACCCTTGCACATCATTCTATTAATTTACAAATCGCAAAAATGTTAAAATTCCTATTATTTCACATTAATTTTTCAAGCGTTTCTATGGGAGCTATATGATATAGTAGTTCGATCTTTTTAAAATTAAAATCGAAATTCGGAAATATTTAAAAATAGTCATATCCCAGAGTAGAAGAGAATGTAAAAAAAATCAACAAAGATATAATTTTTTTCCGATTAATTTACATTTAATTTTTCCACCGTTCCTATGGCAGCTACATGATATAGTGATCCGATTTTTTAAATATTTAATTCGAAATTCAGAAACATATAAAAAATAATATTCCCATGAGTAGAAGATAATATTTGAGAAAACACCGAAGCTAGAATTTTTTTAACGTTTCCTTCCTATGGGAGCTATAAGATATAGTTGTCCGATCCGGTCGGTTCCGACATATATACTACCTGCAATAGAAAGAAGGCTTTTGCGAAAGGTTCGTCCCGATAGCTCAAAAACTGAGAGACTAGTTTGCGTAGAAACAGACAGACGGACAGACGGACGGACAGACGGACAGACGGACATGGCTAGATCGACTCGTCTTGTGATGCTGATCGAGAATATATATACTTTATGGGGTCGGAAACGTCTCCTTCACTGCGTTGCAAACTTCTGACTGAAATCATAATTCCCTCTGCAAGGGTATAATAATCAAGCTGCTCAATAAGCGAAATATGCACAATAACAATGCGCGAGAATACATGTGCATTAGGGCGGTCCAAAAAATGAAATTTTTTTCTCACCCCTTAACGTGGTATATTAAAGTATGCAAAAAATGTATGTAAAAACAAAAAAATTTTTTTTCGAGATTTAGACCTTGCGAAACGTCTTCAAAGTTTGCTTTTAAATACGACATGTATAACCGTTCGAATTTGGTCGAAAAAAATCGCTCTCCCATGTCTTGTCTTGTCAAATTATGAAATTCTTTGGAATAATTGTTAAAAAAAAAGGAGAGCAAAACATCAACTGAATTGTTGATATCTATGCCACCTTGATCAGAAAAACTTTTTGATCGAAGGCAAC